CCCCCCCCGAAAACAGGGTGCCGTACTCACTGCGCAGCCGCAGTAGCTATCCCCGCCCACCCCCGAATCCAGACATAGCCTCCCGAAGCCGGCATAATAAAGACACACTGCGCAGCCGCAACAACCAGTATCCGCATTTCCCCGGTAATCACTGCGCAGCTGCAATAGCCGGCAGCCGTCACATGCCCAGCCATACGTCCCTGAACCCCAATGACCTCAAAGCGGAACTCAACAGTCGCCATGTTGGTAAGGGGAGAGGATAATGGTGATCTGGAGGAGAAGCTCTACGGTGATTTTGGGTTACCGCCCAATATTACTGTTAGATCCAGCATCACCTCCAGTGTACTAGCACAGCCTTTGGCCTCCTGAGGAAAAGGGTGTTGGAGAACAACATCAGATCCTGTACCAAGATCATGTACAGAGCTGTCACAGAACCTGTCCTCCTCTATGGTTATGAGATGTGGACTGTCTACAGCAGACACCTCAAGGCATTGGAGCAGTACCACCAGTGTTGCATGAGCAAGATCCTGCGAAGCTGCTGGGAAGAAAGAGGCACCAACACCAGCCACCTTGGCCAGGCCTACATCCCCAGCATGGAGGCATTCACCACCCGTAATTGGCTATGATGGGCTGGGTGTGTCATCTACTGACCGACGCAAGTCTCCCTGAACAGGTGCTCTACTCCCAGCTTCAAAACAGCAGGGAAGCCCCAGGTGGACAGAGGAAGTGCTTCAATGAGACCCTCAAGGCCTCAATGGCAAAGTGCAGCATTCCTACAGACGCCTGGGAATCACTAGCCCAAAGCCGTCCAAAGTGAGGGAGGAGCATCGGGGAAGGTGTCAAGTACCTTGAGACTTGCTGTTGGAAAAAAATGGAAGGCAGGAGAAAGTGGCGAAAGGAGTGTGCTACCACACCAATGCCCCACCCATCCCTTCCAGCAGCAATCTTCTGCCCCATGTGTAACAGAGCCTGTCTAGCCACATCTGACTGTACAGCCACCTGCGGACTCACTCTGAGAGTGGAAGAAGAGTCATCCTCATCTGTGAGGGACTGCTGATGATGATGACTATTACAATTTTGTTGTGTTATATAGCAGGGTATTAATAGGACATGAATGCAAAATATTAATTATTGGAAAACTGAAATAAAAACAGAGTTCTGGGGCAACTCAGCAGGTCTGACAGTAACAATTGGCAACAAAACAATATTTAGAGTCCCAAGAAGATTTTATTTTCATTGATTTAAGACTCTAATGATGACCATTGAAACGTTGTCAATTGTTGGGGGGAAAATATCTGGTTCATTACTGTCCTTTAGGGAAGGAAACTACTGTCCTTTCCCAGTCCGATCTATATGTGACTCCAGACCACAGCAATGTGGTTAACTCCTAAGCTTTTGACAGCTCTTGACAATATCTGCTGTGATATTGTTTTTTTCTCATAACTTGAATGAGTTTAAGATTGTACTGTTGGAGTATGAAACTCCAATGAAAGTTTTAACATCATATCACAGAAGCTGTTCCAAAAATACAAAGGGTATTTCTGTAAAAATAACTGATCTCTACAGAGATTTTTGTTTGGGCAATATATTCTGACCCAACCAGCAATGCCCACATCCCACAAATGAATTAAAAAAATTGGACTGGAATTCTATTTCTGCTGTCAAAGCCCCTCCCTTCAAAGGATAGTATCCTATTTCCTTAACTATCTGTAAAGAAATTAAGACCAAATATTCCACACTGTTTACCTTTCCTATCAAACAACCCACTGACTGCCCAAAGCCCCCCCAACATACCTGGAATAGAAACAGAAAATGTTGGAGAAATACATCAGGATCTGGGTTTCCATGGCAGGGGTGGGGGGCCGGTAACTTCATGGGCCTACTTGCAGTCCAGATGGTACCCACCGCCAATCTCTGGTGCTGCCAGGACTGTTGGAGCCACCTTAATTCTTTCATGGGATGTGGGTGTTGCTGGCCAGACCA